ATCACTATTGACGCTCACCTTATGTGGCGAAATCTATATTAGTAATAATGACGTTGTTAGTTTCTGGCTTAAGGTCTACAGCACTGTGTTTGGACTAGGCTAACTGAAATGCAAAGACATTTCCTTTTTTTCATGGACGTTGACGATACAAACACAAATAGTCAGCTTGTTCAAGTTTAGTTAAAAGTTGCATGATTGTATCTCTTAATTAGAAACAAACTGAATTTATTACGGCAATAATGTGAAAAAGAGTGACTAACACGTTCCCTAATGTGCGCATTGCATGTGGCCATTAAGTTGACATTAGAAGACAAAATGTTGCTTGAAATGGTTCATGAGGTGCGAAACTCAACATTTAGAGAATTAAATACGACGTAATGACATAATGACAGTTGGCCATTTCGGAAAAAGAGGCCAGAAAACACCTCCCCACAAGCGCCGTGTTACTTCTCAATGTGTTGTTAATATCTGTAATATCCACCTAAATTATACACAGAGCACTTACTATAAGTATTAATGTAACTCAAAACAATTTGGCCGAAATCTTACTTGGAAATGAACAACATATTGACTTTCCGGTCCGGCAGTGTATAACAATGTATATTCTGAATTGCGGCAAATCAACCCTTGTTCTCATACATGTATATATAAACTGTGTGTGTGTGACAAAGTACTGACTTTTCAATATATGTACAATGTACATACAATCAAATCAGTGTCGCTGACAATTTTTTCTTGAAAGCTGTAGGGTAATAAACGCTTGGATATGAACACAAGGGATATGCATATTACTTCCATAACCCAAAGTCAGGTCATGTTCTCAAGGTTTTGATTCGCATGTTTCTGTTAAAAAATTCAGTTTTATCACAAACGCAGTCAATCTTTATTGATGTCGTAGAAACGAACGTCATATACCTCACAGACCATGAAATAGCAACCGCCTAGGTCCCTGTTGAGGCAATCTAATGTCTACATATCTTTCTATCTGATGGTTGTCAATTATGAATGATGAGGCTTTACTAGATGGTACTTGTTTCCTGACCTGGCAGTAACCCCCTGACTCTTGTAGGAGATGCAATCCTGCAGGAATGAAACTAATAAGGGAATCAGATGCGTAGGTAGATAGAAGATTTCCAGACTGCGCTTTTCTATTTTAATTGAAAAAAAGAAAAAGAAAAACAGTGTAGTATCAAATTCATAGCATGTTTATATGTTGATATATTCCTTTAGCTTACAGACTTATGTTACTAAGGCCAAATTTGAATTAATGCGCTTAGTGTTAAAATAGCATTGGACTATAGTGGGAAGTACGTACTGTATATACAACAGGTGTAGGCTTTAAAATGACCACAGCTTTGTAATTATCACGATAGTACGTCAATATTGGCAATTTGTTTTTGTTTGACCCCTAGGGAAATCTGAAATAATGGAGTGTTTTGTCTGTCCCCTGTTAGAGATGTTTCATCTGTTTCTCTAAATTCCAACTTCATCCGTCCTTTTGTCACGACACTATATATGACCACTTTTCTCTCAATTCAGGCGCTCTATATTTCATTTCCCCAAGGAACATGGTACAGAGAAAATTTCTCATTCTTTTGAATTGGACTGTGTACTCTAATTCAATTTTTGATTTTTTTTCTGGCATTTGTGTTCCTACTTGCATTGGAATTATGTTAGATTTTCAGTCTGATGTGATGACAATATTAAGGGTAAGGTTAATGAAGGATTTAGAATTGTCATGAGTTGGGTCGTGGGACGAGGGGTAATACAATGTATTATGTCGTGTTGATAATATGATGCACTTAACTGGCAATTCTTTCTCAATTGTAGTTATCTTCGCTACACTGTAAAAACAGTGTTTAGCTCTGAGACACATTTCTAAGCGCCTGTTTTGTCTCATTTTTTCCACGCGTTTAGCACCTAAGCACGTTAAGCCTATTAACATGTTACACGCTTTGACGTGCTTGACGCCTAATAAATGTAGGGTGTGTTTGTTTAACTTTAAGGTTGTAACGTTTTCAACTGTTTCAGTCACTCTCTTTCCCACACACACACGCGCGCGCGCGAAGTCATGGTCACCTTTAACTGCTATAGTTATCTCTATCTATAACAGGGTACTGTGAACTGTCAACATAGTTGATTCACACCATCATCTTTACAGCGGAACTTATTCATCCTTGTGTTAGCTGACCTTGCGAGGAAGTTAATCGGAATATATTTCTGAAAAACAAGTTAGGAAAATTCACTAGTTTACTAAAGACACGAAACAACTATCACTTTTACTTTAAAACATTTTTTTCATATTTTGATAAAATGCGTTAAGGTATTGATGTTCATTTATTTTTCCGGAAGTAATGAACAATAGAACATCAGGATGATGGTGAAGTATTCATTATAATGGTTTATTTAAGCTTTCATCACATGCTGGTTATTTTGGTAACGATAGTCCGCATATTTTTCAAGTCGCACCGCTCTAGTCGCCGACTAACCCAAGCCCATTTTGGAATTAACCGCTAACTGTAGTTCATACAGTATAAGACGTGTTTTGGTGATTAATAAAAAAAGTTTTCAAAACATTAAATAATGTTTTTCCAGAATGTTATAAAACGCTTATAAAACTGCAAGGGCATCATTTTGCATGGCGTTAAAAACACCCATAATGTTACCATGACGTTATTCTATACCATCACTATCATGTAACCAGCTGATAAAGTCGTGAAAACGTTATTTGTTATTTGGATTATTACTTAATAGGCCTATTTTAAATAATCACACGTTACTGCAAGGAAGGACACAACGCGTTCGAGCAGGCTGCTTCTCGCCTCCAACAGCCCCATATGTTTACAAGGGGAAGTGTTAAGCAAAATTGTAGAGTCTTGTAATAAACTTGTTATGGGATCGTATATATGGGATTGTGAAGCATTTTTTCTGTGACGAGCTTGAAAAGCTAAACATGTTGTTTAGCAGCTCCACGCGTTAAGGAATTCCACACCTATAGCAGCTCCATATGTTTAGCAGCCTCACGGGAAGTGCTTAGCCAATGTGCTTAGCTTGTGATAGACTTGTTATAGAATCATATGCCGGTGAAGCTAAACACATAGCTAAACGTGTAACAATGCCAACGTGTCTAGCTTATTCTTCTGTGAAACGTTTGAAAAGCTATACGCGTTTAGCATTTACACAGATTTCTAAATGCGTATAGGTGCCTAACGTGTGTTGTATGTATTTAAATACTAAACACTGTTTTTACAGTGTATATATCCGTTTTACATGTATCATATTACATTGTCATTTATGTAATTTCTCCAATTCAAATGAAAGACCAACGTTTTGTATTTTAACTAATGTTTAAAAAGTCATGTCAGTAATTACCTCAATGCCTTTACATATAAAAAGGGTACTATGTTGGGACTTTTGGGAATAGAGTGCTGTCTGACGTCACTGGTGCATCTCGGCTCACTTCCGGATAACGTTTTTACCTGTCTTTTAATGGACAGAATAATACACAAATGAATTTTCGCCCTAAAAGCAGGAAAAGGTTAGGTTTCAAAGGAAAACGACCAAAAATTGAAAATGCCCAACGACTTAATACCAACCTGATATTTAATAACATTTTTACTATTTATTATATAGTATATCTAGAACCCTGCGCTATTTACGTGTAAGTGCGCTTTCTTTGTTTCACGCTATTAGTAATAAAATCTGTTACTGGCAATTTATCTAGTCTTTTGATTCGCTCGCGTGTCGCAGCAAAATCGCACATGTCACTAACAGGACTTAAATATATTATTCGACCAATTGACACTTGACCTGGATGAAGTGATTCACAAAACAATTTTCCAACAGTATATTGCAAATGAAACCACACCAATCACTCATATACATTTAATTAAAAGTGAGGTAAAAATGAGGACACTTTATACAGTGTATTAGATATTTTAGCCCAGGATTATTTAAATTCCGACTGAACACAACATTATCCACATGCCCCCCGCCAGGGCGGCCACATGCTTCCTCGCTAGTTATAAAGCATTAATATGACACATAAATTATGATGAAGATTCTTATATACGATATTTTTTTCTTTCACAGGACCAGCAACCCCCTGTCTCGTCTGGATACCCTGGTCCACGGGGGTGTCCCCCACAGCAGCAATCACAGGGGGTCCACAGAGAGTGCCCCCACCGTGGTACTGGACTGGGACGATGACGAGGAAGAGGGTGGCACAGAGGAGCAGAGAAAGGAGAGAGAGGAGAGGGAGGGTGTTCTCCCGTCCCCCAGTGTCTCTCCAGTCCCATGGCTGACTGACCAGGACGCCCTGGCCGCACTTACGGAAACACTCTCAGGTATTGTGGTCAGCGTGGCCCTCTCTGTACTCCGATAACGTGGTCGACGTGATCCTCTCTGTACTGAGGTAATGAGGTCGGCGTGATCCTCGCTGTACTGAGGTAATGTGGTCGGCGTGACCCCCTCTGTACTCAGGTAATGTGGTCGGCGTGATCCTCTCTGTACTTAGGTAATGTGGTCGGCGTGATCCCCTCTGTACTCAGGTAATGTGGTCGGCGTGATCCTCTCTGTGCTCAGGTAATGTGGTCGGCGTGATCC